TATATATAATGATTAATTTCACATTAAACATCAGGTTAAGAGTGGGAGAAACCTGCATGCTGCAAAATCTTTTAAGTTGCTATCCAAGACTTATTTTACAGAAATTTGTCTTTGGAAAAAAATACACCTAGACCAAATAAATAAACTAAAAAACAAACTAATAATTAGTGAACTGTGAGCATGACATCAAAACAAGGAAAGAAAAGCTGCAGATTTACCGTGACGGCTTGGATGCTCCAACGACTCCACACTGTATCCATGGTTGGTTGGGAAGAAACACCAGGGAACGCTTCTTTCATCCAGAGGGCTCCAACAACAGCCACGCTGCTCACATTTCAGCTGTTCAGAATAAAGGATGTCTCTATTTTTACAATTCATATGACTGTCATTACTATTACTAAAGCTCTTATTAGTATTTAGATTTTCTTGTGTACAACTGACAACGTCTCTATCAATATGGAGAAAAACCAWGAGTCAAGCTTGACTTGTTTTTGAGCTGTTACAATACGTGTTTTTGAGAATAACTTTCAAAAATGTTATTTTGATTTATTTTATTTTCGTATAAAGTTGACTCTAACCTTTGAAGCTCCAGCCTCTGGGAAACAGTCCACCCTCTCTGCCAGAGGAATGTTGGGACACTGAGGAACAAACGCATCTATGAAGAAAAGAAGTCAAAACTTAAAGAAGGAAACTGAAAATGAGTATTCATCCAGTTCAGTGGTTTCACTGTATTTATGTGAACAATAAAACAAAATATAAATTTATTCAACAAAGGCTTATCTTGCTAAATAACCTTCACTTATGATCATCATATGTCATTGTTTCAGTTTTGAGCATAYTTTTAGACCCCAACAATAAAAGCCATCTCCACAGCATTATATTGCCTCCACTGTGCTTTATTGTGAAGATGTTCTCAGGGTGATAAGAGGAAATCAGATTGGGCTACATGTGRCATTTCTTCAACATACAGACCGCTCAATTATTGTTTGTTAAATTCCACATAGTTCGAGTATATCTTAAACGTAAAAGTATCTCTTAAACACCTTTTACTGGACCCAGTATGTTTTTTGTTTTGTTTTGTTTTGTTTTGTTTTGTTTTGTTTTTAGATTTTTGTTTTTATTATTCTATGGTCATCGGGAATTATCTTTCTTTTGTGTTTTGTGTGATTCACCTACGATCTTCAATGGCATCAGGACCTTCTGTGGCAAACACAACAATCATAGCGACGGCTATCGCAGTCATCAGTAGAAACAGGACCACAAGGATCAATTCCAACTTGGTCCACCGCTTTTTCCCCATCTAACACAGATAAACAAATAAAAAACAGAAACATGATCTACCCATCTTTGTACTTACTGTATGTTTGTAAAAAGATTATGAAACATTAAAGTATTTGAACACAAAATGGTTATTTTAAAATAAAGACAACGAGAGGTGCTGAATAAGTAAACATACAAACAACATAAGCATCTATTTATACATAAACTGTTTCGTACAGAAAAGCTCGATCTTTCTTGCCTSAGTTATTATTCAGAATCATATCTTMAATCATGCTTTATTATTAGCAAATCCTTTTCACAGAGGCKTTTGAGTTGTGTTGAAAAAAAGCTGCTTCAAAAAATGCCAAGCTTGGCATGTTGTGGTCTTACCTTCACTCTCCTTCGTGTTCAGAGAAAAGTATTCTTAGCTGAAGTGAAATAGCACATCATAAACCGCAGGATGACCTATGAACAAAACACACACATCACCACTCCTTTTCCACTTAGATTGTGTGTGTGTGTGTGTGTGTGTGTGTGTGTGTGTGTGTGTGTGTGTGTGTGTGT